AAAACTGGAGAAACTTCTAGATTCCACTCAGAGTTATTCCACAATAATTTAAAACTCTCTGTTTTCTGGTATTGCTACTGAGACCATAAGGCATTTATCTTCCTCTGCCCTGAGTAGAAGACTGAGTCAAAAGATTCATAGTGTCATTGATACTTGCCTAAGGTTTCTGGAAGCAGGTTATGTATTCAGTGGTAATCACAAGAGCAATAATGTTATTCTTTACTGCTTCATTTTATGAGAATAAAATTGAAAGGCAATAGAAAATACAGATACAGAGTTAAGTGTCGCCTTTCTTATCTACGCAGAATCTTTTTACTCTCTCTCAGTAAAAACACAAAACTAGTGTTACTTTCTCCAACAGAGTTTAACAAAGATCAAAAGATCCATATGGCCAGTAGTAAGCTAGGAATCTGGGGAGACCTTCTAGTGGCCTTCTAGTACTTAAAGGGGACCTACAGGAAAGCTGGGGAGAGACTCTTTATCAGGGAGTGTAGTGCTAGGATGCAGGGTAAGGGCCTTAAACTGAAAGAGGATAGATTTAGATTAGATGTAAGGAATGAATTCTTCCCTGTGAGGGTGGTGAGACCTTGGGACAGGTTGCCCAGAGCAGCTGTGGCTGCCCCCTCCCTGGCAGGGTTCAAGGCCAGGTTGGACGGGGCTTTGGGCAACCTGGGCTGGGGGAAGGGGGCCCTGCTGGTGGCAGGGGGGTTGGAACTGGATGGTCTTTATGGTCCCTTCCAACCCAAACCATTCCATGATTGTACAATTCTGTGATATGAATTGGACTACTGAACAATGACTTCATTGTTCATGTACAAGAATTAGCAGAAAACAGACAACCCAAAGGTTGATTTTTTCAGCCTAAAGTTTTTTTCCTATAGAAATAGAGTCAATTCAAAATCAGTTCCAGGCTGCTGAAAACCTGGGAGTTCCAGTGCAGCTGACAGACTTCATTTTTTCACAGGTGCTGTAAGGAAAAGCCCTCTCCTCCTGACACTTGGCCATGCAGCCCCATTGTGCTGATGCCACATTGAACCCTTTCACAACCTGCTTTAACTTCCTAATATGGCGGAAGTTGTTGCATTTTGGGGGAGGGACTGTATCTTTGTTTTTTGTTGGTTCTGTGAACTGATGAAATCTAAAGAGGAGTTTGATGTGCATTGGAGCCACAACAAAAGTAAGCAGCAGGGAGGGGTAGGAGAGATGGGGAACAACAGCCCTATCAGTACACAAGATGAACTGTAGGGAGTTGAAAAATCCCACAAATACCTGTGAATAGTTCTAAATGAGAGTCTCTGTGATCTAAACTCATGCAGCTAGGCGTCCTCTATGTCCTTCTGATGTTGAGACAAAAAACGAATTACCAAGTACGCATAGTCACATATGGCTTTGCATCACAATTTGCCTGAGCCAATTTATAGCAAAGGTGGTGGTGAACTTGACAATTATCTAAATAAAAAATTGCAAACTTCTGCAAAAGAGTAATTAAATGTTGATTTCAATGCTCTTGCACTGTCCTGCTTCAGTCAGTACTGCAGTGACAGCAGGGAAAGGAAGCAGTCGTTAAAACAGTTAAGCCAGAGTTTCCGTTTTAGAGGGCTGACCCCTCCCAGTGCTGAGCACCTCCTGAATTAATTTCTCCCCTTACTGATAGTCAGCTGGTTTTGATAAACAAAATACTCTTACTGGTTACAGTTCTGGGAACCCCAACTGCTCTCAGGTCTGTTTTGAATGCTAATATAAAAACTAAATTCTGATGTCATATGCCACCTGTGCTGAGGCTAAGAAATGCTTTGGATGTTGTTAGTATGCAACAGCACAAAATGTTTACTAAGTGAAAATGAGATATGAGTTGGCAATCTCATGTTAGCAAGATAGATCAATGTTAGGCTGCACAGGATGGTTTAGAGGAAATAGAAGAGGGGAAAAAAGAGTAAATCTAATGGCCTGCCTCACAGTCTAGTTTGTGCCATATTTGAACCTGCGATATTGGACTGGCATCAGCACATTATGCTGTTAACACACACACTGTAGGATGACCTGAGCAAAATAAATGGAGATATCCTCTAAGAGAAAAAGACTTTAAAAGGCATGGATAGCTGGGGTAGGCAAAATACAGCATCCAAACAGTCAGTGAGAAGCAGGGTAGGACACAATTGCAATTCCACAGAGAGAGAAAATGCTTGTAATACCAGTAAGTGTGGGGTGCTGGCTTAGAATATAGACAAGGGCTGTTTGGGTCTGAATGCTATTGAGTCCAGACCCAAAAGTCTCTCCAGTCAAAGTGGAAGGAGATCTGTCACCTGTGACACAATGTGCCCTAACACGTGCCACCAGAGGGACAGTTGGACAAAAGCTCCTGCGAGTGGGTGTATGTCTTCCTCTTGCATTTGTTATTTGCATTTTGGACTTACTCTGCAGTGACACTCCTGCTTGTGGTCTGCATGCATTTGGATGTTTCATGTGGCTCCAAGCTCTGGAATTTCCTTGGGAGCCCAGTAGAAAATTTTAACAGGAATCAGCTGGCTACTGATTATGTATTTCCCAGACTTTGGCTAATACTGGTATGTCTCCTGCTTTGTGCACCTGTGCTGTTTACACTCACTCCCATTCAGTCTCCTCTCCGGATACATGGGGAAGAAAATTAAGCTTTCAGCATTTATTTCTAACATACCCACTGTTTCCCAACTGTATTTTTCTATTCCCCCAAGGCAAATCCTGCACAGGAGCATGACAGACTGACCTGTTCTTCAGCAGCTCCTTCTAGTTCTAAGGGTGATCTCTCCCCCAGAAGCCTTGCAAGCATTTAGGCCATACAGATCAATGAATTAGTTTAGGACAATTCTGCTGGAGAATGAGAAGTAGGCTTGAAAAATGTTTAGCTAATACTAGGCTTTCCACAGTGCTAATCCATATTACATGAGACATGCAATGTACTCACTGAGGCACTGCTTCATTTCCTTCAAGTGCTGACTATTTAGGTACCTGTGTTGAAGCAGACACTGTTTAAGTGAGGCTTTAATATGTAACAGTTCAGGAAACATATGGATAGAAACCAGTCAGACCCTGAAATGTCCTGCTGAAAGCCTTGTTAATTTTTGTATGAGACAACATTTGTCAGTGTAAAACTAGCTGTGTGTAGCAGGTTATGTCTAACACAGAGAAAACACAAAGTTCCTGTAAGAGGAGCAATGACATCAGTCAACCTTGAGAGACATTCATTTTGGAGTCCAAGTTCATTTTGGAATCTGGAGTTTGGAAACTAGGCAACAACAAAAGTTTAGCCTTCTATATCCTGGTAAGCTGTTTACTAGGTGGAGGTGTGATTTTCCAAGAACTTCAAACTAGTATTTGTTAGCACTTATTCTGATGTTATGACACAAGAGCAGTGTCGATACTATGCATCAGAAGGCAGCACTCCAAATCCATCACCGCAAATGGACGGAATAGTGGTGGTAAAAAAATAAAGTTGTCATGAAGAGACAGTCAAACAGAAGAGAAGCAATTTCCATCCATGAATTTCTCTGCATGTCACTGTCTCACTCTTGTCAAACCAGAGACACTTTGAGTCTAGGAACGGCCACTGTTCTTTGCTAGAATATTTACTTGGTTTTAGTAATGCAGTACATTAAATTTGTAGCTTCTTGTTCTCTATTGTATCTGCAGTACTTCCTACAATAAATTCAATACCTTCAATAGGACTGCTTAGAAAGACAATTAAATCCAGTTATTTGGCATATCTTTATATAATTAAACATTATGCTTTTCTTGACAGTTATCATCTTTGTCATGTTGTCTACTGGATAAATACTTCCCAATACATTTCAAAGAGTATAAAATGTATGCTAAACTTTGCAAAAACACACTACATGCTACCACTGTGTTACTGACTTTGTATTAATTCTGCATGAGACACCTTCAGATACCAAGCCTATGTCGACAGAGCAAATAGATATCTTAGGATCATAGGATGGTTTGGGTTGGAAGGGATCTTAAAGACCATCTAGTTCCAACACCCCTGCCACGGGCAGGGACACCTTCCCCCAGCCCAGGTTGCCCAAAGCCCCGTCCAACCTGGCCTTGAACCCTTCCAGGGAGGGGGCAGCCACAGCTGCTCTGGGCAACCTCTGACAGTGCCTCACCACCCTCATCATAAAAAACATTTTTAAGTCCAATCTCAATCTATCCTATTTCAGGTCAAAACTGTTGCCCATTGTCATATTGCAATAGGGACACTATGGAATGTTTTAAAAGACAAACCACGGGAGATTGAAAATGGAAACCCAGAAACTACTTTCTCCTAGAACATCCAAATATGAACTTTAGGGCTCCAACCCATTTCACTAAAACTGTCTAGGAGGCAATGATAACAATAATGAAAACAACTTTTAAGACTAGCCATCCGATTTGGCTAGATAGTAAAAGTAGTAAAAGGTACGTTATATCGTCTTTCTGTCAAGTTTCAAGCTCTGGCTCCTGCAGTCTAAGTTATTTAAACAAGCACCATGAAATACAGAAAGTTAGTTAAGCTGTTTACCCCAGTATCTGAAAAGCACCTGTAGTGTTTTTGCTAGGGAGAATATGTCCAAATCTAAAGGCTTTCATATCAGGAGACTGTGTGTCTAACAGAACAAGACTAGTGAGCTAAAAAAACTTATGTACCTTCTTTTTTATGTTTCCTTTAGATTTTTTTTTTTTTTTTTTAATTACTGTGAGAATCTGTACCTTTCATGTTTCTGATTTTTCCCTTGCTTGGATTGGATTGCATTCTGATCTACCTCTGTCTCAGCAATCCCTGTTGTTTCAGGGATGTAGAACCTTCAGTTCTAAGCAGCACAGTATTTTCAAAAAGTGATCTTTCTGAAATTGCTGTTTACAAGGTATCATGACCAACCTGTTCCATGAATAGCAAAAATCACTGTCACATGAACAAAATACACTCACTAATGACTAGAAATAAATAAAAAAAAAAATCAATTTCCACACAGTTTGGAGAAGCATAGGGTTCATTTATTTTATTTACTAGACAAGAAGCAGATTATTTTCTTGAAGTGAAATTGTATTAAAAAAGGAAATGCATACATTAAAAGCACTTGAGCACGTTCATCACTTAAACCAGAAACTAAAACCAGAGTTGTTCAGATCAATGAAGTAGCAAAAGACCAGCACAGTGTTCAGGACATTGGCAGCAAAGTACTCTTCTGTACAGTTCTGTAAGTCACATAAATGCATCTTCAGGCACAAATTTGGCTTAGGCATTACCTAATTTTTTTTACTGAGAACATTCATTCATTACATAACTGATGCTGTGAAAGAACTACCACATTTATTAAACCATGACTTCTAGCACACAAACAAAAACCCATTGCTTTAAAAAAAAAAATCACTGAAATAAAGAATATGAATAATGTATAAAAATAGTGTAATTTTATTTTGCAATTGTCTGTTCAGTTTTTCTGGTATGTTTCTGAAGTGAATTGTAACCATTTGCCTTGTTGAAGGAAAAGGTGGGAGGCAAAAATAGGAAAGCAAATAGGTTATCTACGAATCTGCTTTCTTAGATCTCATCTTATGAAACCGCAACAAAGTGTCACCTAGCCTTTCCATTTTTTCATCAACCAAAAGATATCACTAAATAGAGGATGAAAATTTGCTACCGACTTATTTCTTCAAGCCACTGTATGATCCAGCTTGACAATAAAACTATTCCTAGTTTAAAACATACTCAAAATCTAACTTTTGTAATCTTATACATTAGCAAGCATAATAAAGATTATAAAAGCTGTCTTATACATTATCATTGGTCAACACTTACTCCATTCTTTTATGCTTCTAACAACTTTTGAAGATGTTATAACCTCTGGAAGTTTGAAAGTGATCCACTTTTCCTTGTGAGCACCAAAACTTCAAGGTTCATCCAGGTTGCTACTATTTTGGCAGGATAACCGAACACTGCATTGTTGTCTGAAATAGAAAATCAAAGTAGATGAATGCTTCCTCTGCCAATGCAGAGCAGAATTACTTTTCAATGTAAAGGCAGACTACATAGCTTCCATTTGGATTACAAACATCTGCAACACTTTCCATGGGCACAGTATCTCCAACTTGCTCCAACACCACAAAAGTTAAAAGAATTACAGGGAGGGCATACCCTACAAGAATTCAAGGACTTGTCATTACAACTTTCTAAACCTCTGTAACAGGGTTATTGGTATTGAGAACAATAATCATATTGCAGAAACACTAATTTAAGGACTTTAGTCTCACAAGCTACAAATGAAAAATTGTGTAGCTTGCTTTTCATTTTTAAGCCAGCATACTGACTTACGTGCATCACATTCATAGAAAGCTCCTTACAAATATAATCAGAATGCTCTGAAAACGCACTTAATGCACTTGTGATTTCTACATGTTTCTTCATCAGTTCTGAAGTACATCTATCAAGAACAGAAACCCTTCTCTAACAGTGCACTGTCTGGGAGTGAATGAAATACTCATGTCATGTAGGGACAGGCAACTTTGATATCAGCCACATTCAAGGGTAGGATCTGAGAAATACTTCACTCTCAGCTTTCCTGAGAGGTCATTAGCCTGCAAGGATCACAGTATGTAGACTAGTGCAACTACAGTTGCAGTGAAGCCTTGATGAATTTTCCCTCTCCACCTTAGTCACCTGAGCCCATTCACTCTAGACACATAAGTATGTTCACTGATTTCACTGAGATATTTTTTGAAGAAGAAAATTACTCAAGAATATTTACAAGTTCAGAGCTCTAAACACATTACTTATGAATGTTAGTTGCAGTTTGTGGTAGACTAGAAAAAATGTGTGAAAAATGTTAACATCTATGCCCTCCAACTTGTTAGCTACCTAACAGTGAAGTCAAGCATGTCAGTGATGAAGTGTGCTGAAACATATCTACAGATACCTGTCCAAATCTAAACTATCTCACAGTATTCACTTACCACAGCTCTCTTATCAAAGTACATTATTTCCTGTAGCAGAGGTCTGACAAATATAATTTCACATAGGCTAGTAGAGAAGTTTGAAAAAGGCTGGTGATATAAGCAGGTCTCCTTACAGAGTCAGTAAGTTTACCTGAGGAGCATTCACAGAAGCTCTTAGGCCTTAGCACAAGCTGATTTTCTTATAACCATTCTGTAAGAAAAATCAGTTCTAACATCACATTCTTTTTACCATCCCAGTACAGATTCTCTCCAATCCTCATGGGGTTGAATCTTACTGTAATAAAGGTACAGATCTCAATTCCCAGATGTTACGAGTTAAAATTATTTTCAACAAGACAGTTGTTCTTCTCTCACTAACACTTTTCCTAACAAAGATTAAAAGAATCCACTATATGGGTTCCCCTTTGAAATTGTCTGCTGTCACTAATTCATTTACTTCATTCAGCAATGAGCCCATTTTACTTGATCAACTTTTGGTATAAATGCAGTGGCTGAAGTTCTTGTTGCCTTTGCTGTTCCTTCCAAGTGTCAACTATAGGCAATCCCTACATGCTCGCTCTTGCTTCTGGATTCCTTCTTTGTAGCTTGTCCTTGCTTCCAACACCTGAATGCTGCATTCTCACACTGGAGCTGTTTTTAACCAAGTCAGTCTCCTGACTGGTCTTTCTGTGGATCACTCCTGTGCTTGGAGAAGGCTGCCCTTAAAGACCTGCCAGCTTTCTGGAGCTCCTTGCCCCTCCAGACCTGCCTCCCATGAGATGATACCTACTAGTTCACTGGTTAAACCCAAGTATGTTCACCTGAACTCCAGCATCGGTACTCTGCTATTTGCCTTCCCAGCTCCCCATGGGATGTTGGACGCCACTATTTCATGAGCATTACAGCAACAACTGCCAGTGATTGTTACCTCACTAAATAAGTCTTCTCAGTGAGCAGCAGATCAGCTGTATATCACCCATGGTTGACCCATCCTACCCAGAATTTCCCTGACAATGGCCAGAAATCACTTGGACCACTGTGATCAATAGCATCATCTGTGTTTCCTGATCCACGACATAAATACATTGTGGTCACACCCTGTTCTTAAAGAGTAAAGGCTTTATACCCTGGCCATGCCTCAAAATGACAAGGCTGTAGGAAGATACTATGCCTGCAGAAAAGTTTACTCCAAACTATTTTTTCAAGCTCATGTAATCTCAGCCTGGAGAATAATCTATTTTTATAGAAAAAGAGCCAGGAAATACTGACCTAAATAAAGACATCTTAGGCAGTTAAAAAACAGTAACTTTCAAACTACATGTAAACTCACTGGCATATCACAGATGAAGAGACACATGAAAAGGAACTGATGGCAGGCAGCCTATGCTTCAGGAGAAAACCAGCCCTTGAACATTTTTGCTTCAGTACTCCAGGGTTTTCTAAAGACTACTGTGAGATTCAGGTGACACCACCAAATGTGGATAGGTGGTGGGATCATACTGTCATGGGAAGAGACAGATAAATGAAGCTGGGCAAAGAGACTGGCAGCATAATTTCTCCTTCCTCGTGAAGTTCTTCCAGTCACAGCAGCCAGATTACAGTGCTCAGAAAGGAAAAGTTGTATCCATGTACAGCTTTACGGTTTCACATGGTTCCCCCCAAATGCTAGAAAGAGACAATGGCAAGTGCTCATTTTAGATGCTCAGCTGCAGCCTGGACATAGGCTGGTGCAGCTTTACATCCTCACTGATAGCAGAGTACCGGCTGCAGTCTTGCTCCCCTGCCTCTTTGTCTGCATTCTTTACCACATTACCACAGTGCATCCAGGAGGCACTGCCTTCAATACCTAGGAAAAGGTGCCTCCAAAAAAGATCAGTTCAAAAACCCCATCATCTGACCTTCAAAATTCCCAGAGTAAAATATACAGATGAACCTTTCACATTGACGAAGAGGTAAGTTTTTCAAAACTCTTTCTGATTCAACTACACACTCATAGAGAGGCACATACATATATCTCTCTTTGCTGTATTGCAAAATTGCCTGTCCTTATTCATTAACACAAAAGTCTACGAACAATCCTTCATCCACTTTACCACCATTTAATGCCTCAAACAGAAAGATTTTTAGCCTCTCCTGCCCTTCCTAACTAAAATCAGAGGAAGTCTCCAAAGTCTCAGACTTTCCTGTCACTTTTCCAGAGTACTTGGATGTGATAAATCAGAAACAATTGTGACTCCTACTCTCCTGACATAAAATCTCAAACCCCACATGGCAATTCCTGTTTCCAGTTCTTCTAACCCCTTCAGATCAACTCCCTTTCCCAGTATATTATCACTCAAACCAAGCCACCATTAGCAAAAATCATATAATCCTGTAAGAATTGCCAAACCCAAGTGGAACTATCTCAATATTCATCACTGATACCAGGCAGTAGCAGATGCTTAAGAGAAGAGCATAAGAAGCTACATTACAATGGAATGACGCTTCCTCTGGTGCATCATATTTTCTTCTTTCAGTAAATGGTAGTTCAGGGACTGAGCTGGAAGAAGCACTTGAATTGGCCAGCTGACAATGAACTGAAAGAAGGATTACTGTTGATTAAAGGGTAACCTGGCAATCTCAGTGCCAGCTCTTTCCAGTCACCTGCTCTTTCACTCCCAATGAAGAACCAAGACAATCATGAAAGGGAAAGCAACAGGACATCACTTACTGAAGTACACCTGCCAGAACCGGAGGCAGATACCTCCGTACTTAAGCAGCATTATATATGTACTTGTGAAATTTTCTTGCATGCCAGCATGACCAAAGCACCTGAGGATTATCTAGCACATTTTTCAGATTATTTGTCCAAACTCTGGAGTTCTTTTGTATAGCTAGGTGTCTGTACTAAACAAAAAGTGTGGCTCAGTCCTCTGAAAATGTTTTCTGTGGATTAGAAGGAGAAGAAATACTGTTTCTGTTGTCAACCTTATCCATTCATGACACAACTTCCTAAAGACTGCAAAAGGGAAAGGTCAATTACCTTTCACAAATGTACAGAATGGACATTAAAATAGTTGTTTCAGATAACCGGGTAAGGAAGTGTCATAAACACAATCTATGGTCCCTTAATAAAAAGAGGTTTTCTAGTTAAGAAAAAACACTCATTTTAAGGATTTGGGTTGGACATCTATGAATCTGACACGGTCATGTATGCTTCAAAGTGTCTTTCTTGGGGGAATATTGCTTAATATCTCTTTCTGTAAGGACATTGACTAAACAAGAAATGAGAGTCACTGACAAGAGAAACATACCGGAAACAAAACAGAAAATTTGATCCCAACCAGAAGACAAAAGATTTTTACAGAACATACAGTTCTGTTATAGTTGAATTTCAGGGACACACTTTTAGGTATATGAAGACATGACTTAAGTCTGTGTTCATATTTCTTACCCATTCAAATTTCAGTCACCACTATAATTTTCAAAAAAGAGAAAGAAAAACCTTAGAGAGGAGAGAGCTGTCAGAGACTGGACTCTCTCACAAGTTTCCTCAACAGGCTTCCTCCTTTTCAGACTGCTGCTGCTTCCACTAACAGAGATCCTTGTTGCCCACTTATGTCTGCTCTCTGTCTTTCACATTCCAGTTACCTTTCCTAGCCTCCCACACCATCTCAATATAGTCCTCAGCTGTTCTTGTGCTTCATGCTCTTGTACTCTTGGAAGTGGCTATTTGTCACAAAAGGCTTGCTGAGAAGGTGAATCGACATCCCAACTATTTTAATATTGTTCTTTCCCCTCTATGCTATAGCCACAAATGAATCCCAAGCATGCCTGTGAAACAGAGATGATGTAAAACATGTAAGTAAACCCTGGTCTAAAAAATTCTGCCTAAAAATTCCCGCACCAATATATTTTGAAATGTTTTTATTTTCTTTTTTTCATGCACTGTGGATCTGAAATCTGTTGGAGAACACAGGTCCAGTAATTTCAAACTGGTTATTACCCATATCTTGTAACAGATTCCTCTCTTACATGTTAAAGGGAACACAAAGGTTTTTGTTTGGTTCGGTTTTCTCTGTTTGGCTCTCCATTGTTCTAAGATTTAAGCTAAAGAAGAGTAGAGGTACAGGTTCTATATTTGGATACTTACACAGATTTGTATCTTAGCTGTGCTACAAAGAATAATGCTTCATCAATCATATACAAATGACCTTAATTTTTTTACCTTCTATAACACTTCTTGTAAAACTGAAGCTAGATCTTTGCAATCAAGCTTGTGAGAGTCTTAATGAACTTGTTTGCCCATCTTGAGTGGTTTGGTTTGTTGAAGCATCTACTGTAAGAAGTTATAATTTAAGCAGAAACATCTTGCAACATATACCTGTATTATGTGTATTTATGCATACACTGTCCTTGGTACTCATCAGACTCATATGTATACTTACTTTCAGGGTGTGCAGGGTGTCAGTCCATTGCATGGAACCTATCTGAGGTATAGCAGTAAGGAGTATGCTAGTAGCCTTATTTGCATTCTCTTTCAGCGTCTTTAAAACTTTATCCACTGAAACCTAGAAATACAATAAAACTGAGTGGTTTCTCTCAGTTTTGATGGCACACATTTTAAATACCCAAATAAATTAAGTCATACATCTCTAAGTGAAAAGGTGAAGCTTTAAAATGCCACAATTTCTTTTAGCCAGTAAAAAATTCCTTCCCCTGTAGGTATATGTCTGATTGTATTTTACACATATAGGAGAACTAAAACAGATACATCGTTTTGCACAGGCATGCAAAAGCAAAAACACCAGACCAATTACAGGAAGATAAGCTCACACACAGAGCTCATGAACTTCATACACACAGACCCCCTAATTCAGACAAGAGGAGGCAAAAGGATTCCTAGTAATGAGGCAAGTTTATGAAAATGAATGAGGTAGCAACAATTGATTCTGTTCATACTTTCACAGTCGTCCATCCAGAATAACTCATTGGTACTGATGTAAGAATGAACAGTTTAGATCAGTATGTGGTCTGTGATCAAAATCTACAGGTTCTCATCCAGATCCCTCAGAACAAGAGCCAGAGGAAAGAAGTTTCACTCACTGCTTCTTCAAGTTCCTTCCAGCAGTCGTAATCTGTTGCCATGGCAATACTAGCATAACTCATTCCAGCTTCTTTCGCAAGAATCACTTCAGGCACTGTGGTCATGTTGATAACATCAGCTCCCCAGCTGCGAAACATCAAGCTTTCTGCTCGAGAACTGAAACGTGGGCCTTCTATTGTGATCACTGTCCCCTTGGAATGACACTGGAGCCCAAGTTTCTTGGAAGTCTCAATAAGAACCTGCAAAACATGCCAGGAAAAGGAAATAATTCTCCTGGTGCATTGCTTTTGTATCCCATCAGAAAACTTACAAAAGAAATTAGCTTTACATAAAGCAGGCAAGCTTCATATGGCTACAGCTGTCCAAAACAAAGGATGAGTTCCAGCTTCCTCATCCAACAAAAGAAATTAACAGTCCTACTAATAGGAATGATCTTGAACTCATCTGATTTTGTTAGTATCTGTTAGTTACTGTTTTCAGTGCCGATCAAGCAGATTGGAAAAAAGAAAATTTTTGCATGATTATTTATTTTAGGCTGTGCTTACATTGAGAGCAGAATGGTGAAAACACTCCACTGAGCACTACATTACTACATAGCGGAGTTGAGCTGCAGAGAACAATAATAGGAAGTTTACTTTTTGAAAGTAAAACTTTACAAACACATACTTCAAAGAGTACCCTGGGAATCTGTAAAGAAATTACTACATTTTCCCATGCCAGTGACTGAGCTGTATACTTTACATATACCATGTATGTACTTCACATTAGTCTTCACAGTTCCAACTAGGCCCTTGTATATGTCAGAATCGTCATGACTTTCTCTCTTGGTAAATGGCCTGGGTAACACCAGTTGATACAGTAGGAATAAAAGTGTACCAGCATGTGTAAATGGAACTAGGACACCTGTAACTGCCCTGAGTATGAAGGGGAAAGCAACTGTGATGTCATCTATTTAAAATTATTATCAACAGAAAAGCTTGAAAAGAAGTATAAAAGCAGCACAAAAAATTATAACAGGACAGGAGAGACCTTCATAACACAGCAGCAGTGAAAACCTAGTCTGACACCACTAAAAGCTGACTCGTCAGCATCATGACTCACTCAGTGCAGGTGGAACAGCCTCCCCACAAAACGCAGTGAAAAGCCTGTACTCCAGCTGGCTGGCCTACCTGCCATACACAGGTGCAACAAGCAGTGATACCTCAAGTGTGTTATGTGACCTTGTGGGGTGCCTCTTTGCTGGCATGTGGATCAGTGGAGTGTGTGGAACAGCACAAGTACACACAAAGCTGGAGTACCCACATCCCACTGCAGATGTGTGTAAATAGGTGAACCCACACTCCCAGAAGAGGGTGGGTGTGCACACAACCCATGCTTGTGGGGAAGGGTGTTTGTGAGTGCAACTGCATAAATATGTGTGTAGGGGTAAAGCAGAGCTTCTGGGGATTAGCCACAGAAGGACACTTAGAAATTTGTATGTGTTTATTAACATGCTGTACATTAATCTAACATTAATCACATCTAATAAGGTGGTTTATTGCTGGTATTTGTTCTGAATATACAACTCACTGATTGACAGTTAATTGTATGTTGTTAATAAATCAAGTGAACTTCAACTGTGACTTGACTTGAACCACAGTTGATTAGTATTTCCCTGAAACTTAAAAATTCCAGCTTTACTCCCTATAAGATGTTGCAGTGACCCCCAGTTTCTGAAAGCAGTAATAACCACGACATCCGATGCTATTAAAAACATTTGCAGCTGGAGAAGAGATAAACTCCTTTCAGATTCGCATTTAATTTACTGTGTGTAAACCAAATGAAACAAAGTATTTTAATGTATTTGCACAAATGCAATTTAGTATAAAGTTTTCAGATGTTTTCATGCAAAATTCCTTAAATAGCCTATTACATTAATAGTTTTGGCTTTATTACTATTGCATTTATCTATGAAATTCCCCTGAATTAGGATAAACTAAGCTGAAATGATCCCAACAATTTTCAGGAATAGTTCCAGGAAAAAAGTTCAAGTCATTTTTATCTGTTATTTTCAAATCAAGTGAAAGTATCCCTTTTCGGCCTCACTAAGAGCTCAAAACCACATGTTCATTAAAACATCTGTTAGAAGGAATACAACGCATAGGCTAATGAGATAATGATCACATGTGAGACTGGGAAGTACCTAAATGTTTTTTCTGTTTGAAAAGGAGCATTTCTTTGTTTGCTTTTCAAATAATGTAATACCCAAAGAATATTGACTCTAGCTACTTAATCAAATGAAAACTAGCCTTGGTGTATGTCTCCTGCAACCTCAGGAAATGGCTTATGCATACCTACCTAACGTTTTTTAAAAATGAGAAAAAGGCACAGTGTGAAGTATTGCAAATCACTTCAGTAATAATGCTTTTTTTAATCCATTTCAGAAGGTGTATAGTTAGCTCTCAATAAACTCCTTGTATCTGTTGTGACATGACACCATGATCAAAGTCAGTAAGAAACTGCATGTCAACTAATCTTTGGTAAGACTATGTGGCTAGGCTCTTATGGCATGAAAAATGCAAAGTATTTTGCATAATTTCCTACTCAATGGAAGAAGGGCAAAAGCATGCACATGTATAATATGTAGTGGCTTGTCTTCTCGTGAGATTTGAATGTCTTTATTTAATTGAAAACACCTTGATTCCCAGTGCACCGAAGCATTGTTCTAATAACAATGCTGTGGATCTGCTGGTGGATGTCTCCAAACCACACTGTCTGGCCAACTAACACAAATAGCCTATAAGAACACTGCAGTGAATTGGTGACAAGAGTAGAATAGCTCAGTCATATAGAATTTGTACATGCCCTGGGTACACATTGGGCCACCTGCTTCAAAATTCTGTTTTGTCCTGCTCAGTGTAGTAATTGACTGCACAGAGAGCAAGTCTCTTAGACGGATATGACTGAGTCTGTAAGCATTCCTGTGCCCAAGAGTGCACCTCCTTGCAGCTTCTGATCAAAACATTCCACAACAGCATAAAACATGCAGTTCAATCTTTACCTTTCCTTTTCCTCGGGTCTAAGAATACACTAAGCTGGCACATTTAATCACAGAAACGCTCCTCCCAGAAGCTTGTAAAGGTGTTGAAAAATAGAGCAGTGTTTCACACTGCTTAGCGTAAGTGTTTTTTAAGCCTGAAAATCTTGAAGTGACAAAACTAAGAGCAACAGTTAAGAATAAAAAGCTACTGTAATTTGGCTTGTTTCTGCATTTAACACCCTTTAAACTAAGCCTGGACTCTCCACCACCACCAACTGCTACAATGCACAAAAGCAGGAATGCAATATTGTAATTTCTGTGAATTCTAAGTACTCTTTATTTAATTCTTTGTATTAAGTATGTAGAGTGCCCCTACCATAAGTGCAGTTTTATTCATAACAAAAAGGAACTAGTTCCTAATTCTATCTTCCTGCTTTGTCTACTTTGTTGCCCTCTTGGCTTGTTACCTGATAAATAAATATCCCATTATTAAGACCCCAGGAAATGTGGATTGACAACTGACACTTTCTGCATACCTCCCTTAGGAAGACAGCTCCCATAGACACAAGATTTTTCAATTCCCATACCTTCTGAATGTTACATTTTTCCTTAATGCCATGACATATCTGAGAAACAGGAATACAGATTATTTCTGTATTCTAAGAATGCATAATTAGACTACTATATCATGTAGTGCCATCAAAATAACATTTCTAAATACTACAACAAAATTCACTAACCTCTCTGGTTTTTGTGCAGAACGGCTCTGCCATTGGAACGTGACATACTCCTGAAAGAGTGCAATGCTGCCCATCATATAAAGTACAATGTCTTTTAGTTGTCCTAGGAAAGCAGAAAATGTGCTTAGAGAGAAGAATGGGGGGAAAACAGATGAGAAAGCAAGAAAATTACACAAATCCAAAACCATAGCATTCCTGGGAAGGAACAAAAATATCAGTATGATATTAATGGCCATCTGTTTTGCCTCTGTATAAACCTTTCAGAATTGAGCTCAAGAGTATAAAATTGTTACTCCAGTAGTTCATTATTAATTAATTGATAAAATCTATTGTTAACAAGACACTAAAATGCTGATTTGTTCCTAAATGACACAAACAGCCACATTATGCTGCGACTCTACCCAAAGGAAATCAGCTAAATTGAATAGTTGGGCAAGTAATCTCTGAAAACAAAGAGCACCGTAATCTTTCAAGAAGGGAAGGAATCAAGTCTGAATTATCATGAAGTTAGTCAAAATAGAGCTTGTTCATATCATTTCATTCCTACATTGAAAGGATGGTTAATTTATAGGAACAGCTTCCTGAACAAAAGAGGTATAAATTCAACCAGAAAAAACCCTGGAACAGGATGTCTTTGTATTCTCAGAAAGATTACACACATGCATTGGCAGCTTGCAACTAAAAGAATCATGTTTCTCTGATCTTTCAATTGAGAAACTGTTTCCTTGCATGGAAATGGTCAAACATGCTGCAGAAATTACCATCCAGCATGCCATTTTGACAACTACTGGAATTGTTACCCACCAGCACTTTACCTTAAAATGCACTGCCTCAAGCTAATTCAGCCAACTGGATGGCAAAAACCAACTGGAACAAAATTCTTTGAGACATTTGCTTCCCTTCAGTGTGTCACACAATGTGCCTCATAAGAAAAAAGTAAGGCAACAGCCACAGTCAAAATATAAAATTTCTGCTGGCAATACTGCTCATAACTGTTCACCACCCAAGTCACCAGCAAATATTAAAAATAAGGTTTTAAATACAGGTTACATGTTAGAGCAGATTTGAAAAAAAAAAAAAAACAAACCCTGCCAATAGGGTAGCCTTAAGGATGACATAAAATAGGAGAAGAGATCAGCAAATTAAAAACATCTGTGAAATGGCATACAGCTGTTAAAATAGGTTGAAACACTAATATTATTTTTTCCTTGATGGGATACTGAAGAGACGCAAATAGAATGTATCTGATTTTACACATTTTTTTTCAGTGTCTGCTAATGAATTATTTAGAGTTGGAGGAAACGGGAAAACTCATAATCCATTTACCGCATTATAGTATTTCAGATGTTGCTAGTCAGGCCCTTTCACTCAGAAAAGTGTTGAGGAAAGATCACATATGTATAAATATTAATATCTGACTTTCAGATATCCTATGTTATTTGGAGAGAAAGGCCACATCACTATGTGGTCTAACCAAGTAATCACACTATATTTAGCACCATACATACAAACTGCATGGGAATAAGTAACAATGGTAAGATGTATGACTTCTCTGAGCAACAGACCACACATGTTTGCACTCAGAGTGCAACCATTTCTATTCTGCACGGAAGGCTGCAACACTGCACAGGCCACAGTTATTCCATATGGGGCCAGCTGATGTGTCCATAAATTGCGAGGCTTAGGGGGAGAATAAAGTCAGATTTGAACCAGCCTCTGATTCTTTCTATCTCCGAAGTAATGGCTGACACAGAGGAGTGACTTTTAGCCACTTCTCCTTTCTGTAGTCCTGCTACTCAAGTCAGGAGTTGGCCACTCTGATCTGTCCCACTCACCTGTCTGCAAGGTACAGGGTAGCAGCACATAATTTTCACTGTTGCAATACTGCTCCTCTGTATCCCTTGCAGAGAGAATGAAGGTTGTAGAATCACAGATGCTTTCTTTGCCTTACTCTTATAGAGACCAGGAGCCAGAGAGCAAATGACATTATCTGCCTGAAGCTCCTCTCAGTATAGGAGTTTCAAGAGCTCCCCCATGTACCTTGAGTGACTCCTTACGGAGCCAGTGGCAAACAAGAAATAAGGAATTCAACAGCTACTCTTCAAAGACAATCTGCTCCTTAGATCTCACAGTTTTAAATGTGGAGAAGTCTGCATGCCCTCTATTAGGAGGGCCTGCTTAACAACAGAGCACGACTGAGTGTTATACAACTGCCTGATTGTTTACATTGAAATAGGAAGAAGTCACCAAGTGCCTGCCTAGAAACTAGCCACACTACTTGTAGTAAAAGCACACAATCCAGAAGGATCAAGCATAGTGTAAAGAGAAAGTAGAGAGATGCTCCCAGTGGGTGCAATCAGCAGCAGCACCTGAAAGCAATGGACTGGTAACTACAAGCAAGCAGCTAAGAGCTGGGGCTGCATAGCTCCTGCTGGCCATCTGATCTCTGTAGGGCTCTATGGACAACCCCCACTGGACCCTCACGCTGCTTCTGTGCCAAACAGTGGACAGCAGTACCAGAGGAAAGGGAATTCTTCCCCTGTAAAAGGGGCATGTATGTCTTTATGAATAACTGCTTGTGTAACAAGTTCAAGGAGACAGTGGTACTCATAGAGCAAGCAAACTCCTGCACTGTTGCACAGTTTTGCCATGTCTGCCTTGCCCTTACTGCTTTTTCAAATTCAAAGCTGCACATACGTCAATTTTGGTACTCCCTGTCCTGCAGCAATAGCCACAATTTTAAAAAGACAGTAAGGTGACTTTTGGTCCTTCATTTTGATTTTATAACAGTAACACAAGATTTTCTGGCAATGCTGAGCATGACCAGTGCTAGGAAGCAAACCCCAACTCAAGTAATTGAACAAACTGATAATTTCCAGCTGTGACAACCAGTTCTCTACCACTAGCATTATTAACTTTCTTCCAGTAGTGTTGAATTAGCAACAAACTATTATAAATTAAAGAACAAAATAAAAATTCATACTGGCATCTACTGCATAAAAAAACAGTCTCATCATGCTCTGCCTCCTCAGGATCACTGAAAGAAAATTCTCCCACGAAAAATTTTAGAGTGTAACAATACTGTAATAACAATTGTAGTGACGTAAGTGACACAAATAATTCAAACAAAGTTGGCAGCTGTTACAGTACTTCTTTTATGAAGCTATTTTCTGCACCCTTCCAACTTAGCTGAGTCATCCAAATAAGTAGTTACCTCCTTACTTTTAACATCAGCAGCAAACCAAACAGAAAGTTTTAAAAATCCCCTAATCAGTCTGATCTAGCCACTTGACTAACAGCACTGTAATAAACTAACAGGAGCCAAAGGCATAAAAAAAATTCTTCCAGATTTTTTTTAGGCACTCGTTTCAAAGAAGAGAACAACTGTTGTAGCCCATAATAGTACCTGTGGTTACTTTTGGATTTGAAAGTAGGGAGAACACTATGTAAATATTTTGGTGCTTATTTAACAAAACATCTTTTATTATTTAAATACACACATTAATAGATGAGCATGAAGAAAGCAGAGACTATATATGAAATCAAACACTGACTAGGAGTGCTAATGATCTGCAGAATTAAGCTCTCAGAAGTCTGGAAATGCTATATAGTTATTACACCTATACAGTGTTCCCCACTGTAAGTAAAACCTATGCCCTAAACTAGGCAGACGTCTGACACAAATCCATATACTGAGATCCTGTCATTAATGCCACAGTGTACATGCCCAAAGGGAACAAATTACCATTGCTGCCTACAGCTTTCTGTTTAATTCTAGCTCTTCTCCCATTCCCACTCACTATTCCTCCTTCTTGCTTCATACCTGAAAGGAGAATAATGACGTGCTCCCTATTGAGAATTAGAACTCAGATACCGAAAGGTACCTGGACACCTAGAAGGCACTGATTTTAATGGCAGCTTGAATAAATCCTTCCCACCTAGACCCAAGCCTCCTTCCTATGTAGTGCCTGACATAGGTTAATCACTATATAAAAGCCAGGACACCTTTCTAGAAAAATAAACGATTGTTTTTACAGCTTTAACTAGTACCTTCTTTTCCAGACTGCTAAAATTGTTTGCAGGACTCTGATCTTTAATTAGAAGATATTTTGGAAAAATTGCATCTTTACAGACTTTGGAGGACAATTATTCTATTTTGTCCCATGAAAATATCTTTCTGTCAGCAGCACTGTTTTCATAATGATTTGTGATATATAATACAATCACTCTTACAGATGACACAACCCTATGAAAGGCAGAAATGCACACCTCACCTCCAAAGAATCAGCAGTCTATCCCGCACTGGCAAAGATCAGGGAAAAAGACTTATCATAGAAATCAAGTTGTCAAATGAAACAGACTACTACAACTTGTCTGTTTTCTGAATTCAAGGGCAAGCCAGTAATGATTTAAAAATTCAAATTACATATTGTTTCCCATACTGAAACATTCTCATGTGCTTTTCCGAGAAGCTTCTTGGACTTCCTGAAGCTATGAAACAAGTCCCCACAAGTTCCCACTCTTCTACATCAAAATGAAAACTTACTTGCCTGCATTAAACACTGCATATATATGGGTTGTGCCATTACTACAGTGGCCACCTGAATAAACTCTAAATGAAGACACAGATCACAGAATCACAAAATGGTTGAGGACATAATCTAGTCCAACACCCTGCTTAAGCAGGGTCACCTAGAACTGGTTGCCCAGGACCATATCCAGGTGGCTTTTGAGTATCTCCAAGGATAGAGACTCCACCACCTCTCTGGGAAATCTGTGACAGTGGTCAGTCATCCTCACAGTGAAAAAGTATTTCCTGGTGTTCAGAGGACATCTCCTGTGTTTCAGTTTGTGCCTGTTGCCACTGGTCCTGTCACTGGGCACCATTGGAAAGAGCCTGGCTCTATCTTCTTTGCACCCTTCCTTCAGGTATTTATATACATCAATGGGATCCCCCTTAAGACTTCTCCAGGCTGAACAGTTCCAGCTCTCTCAGCCTTTCCTCACATGTGAGGTGCTCCAGTCCCATAAACATCTTTGTTGCCCTTCACTGGACTCTCTCCAGTATGCCCATGTCCCTCTTGCACTGGGGAGCCCAGCACTGGACACAGTATTCCAGGTGCGGCCTCACCAGTGCTGAATAGAGGGGAAGAAGGATCACCTCCTTTGACCAGCTGGCAACACCCCTACTAATGCAGCCCAAAATACTATTTGCCTCTTTTGCTGCAATGTAAATGATCCCTGTCCTTTCACTCATCTTCACATCAGATAAATATACTGATTTTTCTATAAGCTTTTTTTCTTCTTTCTTATTGAAAGGGACATGTTCTTAAAATCCAAACTCAACCAAGTTGATTATTTATTTTCCAGCTCGGAAATTATGATGCAGACTGGGGAGTGCTAGGAAATTAAAAGCTGTGAGATTAGGCAGCTTCAAAAGGAATTGTTAATTTTGATAATGACATTTTGGATGAAGGATGGTCTCAGATTTCGTATCTGTGTTCATTTCCTGGCTCTGTTAATGCCTTTCTGCCTGACCTCTGCAAGGGTTAATTTCTCCATCTTTCTACTCCTCATCGCAGTGGAATAACAACTCTGCAATCATCCCAACTGTTTCTTGTTAACAGCTGCAGGCTCCCTGGGCCAGAAGCTACTTCTTACCATGCATGCAATTCACAGTTTATCATGGTTAGGTTCCCCTCACCTACTCAGGAGTCTATTAGATGATAACACTGTCAAAATAAGTACAGCTTTACTCACAGTCATCCAAACTGTATACCCATGTATGTTTAATATCTTTTCTACATACATCAATATCAATACTAAAATACAAAGTTTCAAGTACTACTGGCAGAATAAGGATGATTGTGATTTAATCTGTACAAACAAAGTGGTCAGCCTAAATACTTTTGAACTTGAAGGAAAAAAAAAAAAAACCATTGTCAGCAATACAGTTGCTTTCCACCCATAACTCAACTCTAGTGTAACAGGAACCAGTTTATAAGGGGCTTGCTCCTGCAGGGTACTTAGTCATTTAGATACATTGTACTTAAAACATATTCTCTTACACAAAAAGCATTCCGGTTACACACACAGAAATATGTTAGTAAGTCAAAATTTGAATAGCACTGCACTGCAGAGAACAAACGTAAGTTATATATATGTTCAGTTGGCAATGAAATATTGCCAGCAGACCCACAAAAGCAGAAAGATGATGCATAAACCATTCCAAACACTTGATATTGGGTGGTATACCCAAACTAAACTTCCAGATAAAGTACACCAATAAGTACTAATAATAAATTATAAATTTACCTCTTATGTGCAACTACATTCTTCTAAATATTTGGTGTAGTTGGTGACCTTTAAATGTAGCTTCCTCCCTGCCCCCCTCCCTGCTTGCTTGAATTTTTCTAAACATCATATAATCAAGCAGGCGAAGACTGACTGGCAAACGCAGACTTTGGAAAAAATGTATTTCCTTACCATTCTTAGCAAAAAATGTTAGCATCCACCCTGGTTTTAGAACAACTTCCTCTCTCTTCCCACTGTGTTGTATTTGACTTCTCTTCTGAGGACCCACATTTTTACTGCATGTATTTTCCTACCTGGCTTCTACTATGCTTTCTTGCACCTCTCCATTTCATTTCAGATTCTTCTTAAAACTTAGAATGGCCTGTGCTCTTACCCATGTCCTTCCTCCACATCTGAGAATAGGAGATCTCTTCAGAATACTCTTCCCCAGGAGCTATGCTTTAGTTCATTTGAGGCCATGGTATTTCTTCTATGTCTGTTAGACCTGAACTTCTTGTAATCTAATTCCTGTTTCCTATCATGTCTTCCTGTATGAATCTTACTTTTTGCCATAAGAACTGAGGCTATCACCTCATTTCACAAAGACTTAATTTAACATTAACATGTTATTATACAGTTTAACCCCACTTGTCCCCTTTTTTCTCCCCCAAAACTAAGAGCAATTAAAAACAGATGTTACTCACCTGTCAATGAACTGGTCAATTATGACAAGATCACCAGGTTGTATTTCCTCTCGTAATGAACCACAGGCAGTAGTCACTAATACATGTGAACAATTTTCTTCTTTTAATGCCCAGATATTGGCACGATAATTGATGTTTGATGGCATAATTGTATGATGCCTCCCATGTCTGCGAAGATACACGTTGCAAGAGAGTAAAATAAATCAGACTGAAATTGCTCGCCTTCTCCCAGATAAAAAGAATTCCAGGAAATGTAATTTCTCTAAATAAACACTGAAAGTGGAACTGATCATTTAATCTACTTCCAGTGTAGCTTGTTTTCCTAGCTGTATTAAGGTTTTCTCAATATTTAAGAAGTAGTGGTATAGTGTTTAAATGCAAAATTTTTAAGTTCAAGACTGTAATGAAAAGAATCTTGAAAATATAAACCAATATACTTTAGCAGCTTCAAGAGTACAAAAAGCATTTATTTCTGAATTTTCTAAGACAGTTCCATAGATTCTGAAAATCTAACTCTAGCAAATTAAATCTTCCTCCATACATTACAACAAATTTGTAAGGTTTACACACAGCTCTACAAATTTTCTGCTCAGAAGTGCTGTTTGTATTCTCCCATAAAGAAGAGTGGCACACCACAGGAAATTAAAACCAGAAAGAACACACTGTTTTAATGTCATCTTCTCCAAAAAACAGTAGAATCATCACATTTTTCTCTTTGCTCTTAAAATGATCTGACAGCTTTCATAAATTAGAAGAATGACTTCATACTGTTGCAGTGTATTTTTTCACCAAGACAGGAAATACTTAAGTCTTATAAGCACAAACTTATGTGTTATCTCAGTCATGGCTACAGAGGTACATCACTCACATAATGATTAAACACACTTGAAAATTATTTTCAACCATGTACAAGGAAAAGAGAACTTAATTTTCCAACTGATTCTTTCATAAAGACAAAAAGGTCTTCAGAACTTTATCGATTAGGAACTGGGAGTTGCACACAACACGACCAAGCACTGTCAAGCGTGATTCCCACATTGTCATTAGCATTTCTGATAAGCTACTAGGCATGTAGATTTATTGTTTAATGTTGCAGTTGTTGCCATAATCCTCTTCTAGAATATATGTGCCTCTTTTTTTAAATCTCACATTTACAAGCAACTCTGTTTTTTCCCAAAACACAAAGTGAAGTTGGAGGTATCTTAGCCCCAAAAGTAAACTCACGAGGGTCATATGTGAATGGTCATAAATCCCGGCGAGGCTGTAAACCACAGCCAAGTTGTTCAGCCACCTGTAGCCCAAAGCCGACTTTGATGCAACACAGCTATGATCTTGGCTTAGCATTTAATTTCAGAAAATTAGAAAAGTCTTGTCCAGGTGTAATAAAATACAGGAGCAAAGTCCATGCAAGATAAGAAAAGTAAAACCACAGACAGAAGTGTAGTTGCAGAGATGGCTGACAGTCAGCAGCTTATGGAAAAATACTGGCATGAAAAGAACTGGGGCTCTGAGCGCACCACTGGGTCGTAATTGCCCTGACCAGCCTCACCCTAAGCCTCCCCCCAAACAACTGGTGCCCATGAGCCCAGGTGCTCCTGTCTCCAAGCTTAGGCTCCAGACTCCACTCCTGGTGTAAGCTACGTCACAGGCGTGCCTGTCTCCTGGATGGCCTTTAGATCTATGCTGTAGTTTGTCTCCAGACCTGTGTTCTGGACAGACTCTGGACACACCTTGAAGCATTTGTCTCCAAACCTGTCTCTGGCTCCATCTCCTACTGCTCCTACCTGGACTCCCTGGATGGATCCTGGACTTGGTTCATCATCTCCACTTGTCTGGCACTGCTGATGGACCCTGTTATTAGCACCTGGCTCTTCCCATGCTGTCCAGATGCTGATAACTGTTGATATTCTTCTGTTTAATCTAACAGCACTTTGATCCTGGATATCCACAGTTACATTAGTGTGAAATGCACTCATCTGAAGATCCTGCTTTCAGGGTCTCATCTGATTATGGTAGCAGGTGTCTGAATAAAAATGACCCAGGGAGGGAGAACTAAAGGGGATACAGCCTCCTAAGCAATAAAGGTAACAGCCAGAGGACTCAATCACAGGGAATTACTTGGAAGGGTCTACAGTGGTACCAGAGATACAGTTTATCTGGAAAGTGGCAATTTCCCAGTTTCACAAAGGAAATTTGCAAACACAAGGAGCAGACAAATTTACTGTGGTTATCAGGCACCACCTACTTACCACCAGTAAGTATCAAGCAGACAGCCTTGCAGGTTCCCGTTCTTACTAGGACAGCATCCTGCAGTGGATTTCTCTTTCCTAACCTAGATGGTATTTTGAATACATTCAGTCCCTGCAGCATCAAATTTATTCAGGAAAAAATCCAGACTTCTGCTGGACTTTGCTAGCAACCACACAGAGCAAGATGAAATCAGTATAAAATTTCAGTTCACCTAATGTAAAAAGAAAAAACTTCTGAGAAAAATTAAGACATAAAATATAAATCCCGTTAAAATGCTCATTTACCTTGCCAACAGCACACAGTCCACATTTTTTATCTTTCCCAATATCAAAGCATCTGATGGCTGCAAAATAAGCAAGTAAGAATCAGTTACAGCCTGACAATCACATTAGAAACCTTAACTGCTACTTAAAAATAAGCAGAACAGTTGTGAAAGGAAATACTGATTACCACTGTAGTCTTACATTTTCTTCAGCTCAACTCTGTAATTTGATATGGCAGATTAGTAAAACAGTCTCGAACAGGAAGATCAAACTTGACACCAGAAGGTTTATCACAGTTTTTCTATGTCCATACTAACATTAACATTGCAACTCTTTCCTTTGGGGTTTGAAACAATAATACTTGCACATACTTTGAAACAGTATTTCAAACAGTGCTACGCAAACATGAAAAAAGAAGCATGTATGTGTTGCTTTCAGTTGATTAGCACTTCTCACTCTCTCCTGTAAACTTTGGTTGCTTTCTGCTAAACAAGTGTCATTCCCTACTAAAAGGCCCCTCCCAGCAGAAATCTGATTTAATCTGTCCCTTTCCATAACACTTCCCATTCTCTCATCCCCTTTCTATCATGGCCCCCTAGCTCACATTACAGGCATGAGGAGGAGTTCTAGACTCCTCCAACCTGCCCTTCACTTCTTCCCAGCGTACTGACATACTTCCTCTTCCCTGCTGCTGGGAGTCCTGCTTTTGGGAAGAGACCTGTGGTATCACAGAGAACTCCTGGTACATTAGTGGCAGAAGCAGTGTTGTATTTGGTCAGCCCAGGGACCAGGAGACAGCATGCGCTCTCCTCTCACAGCTACACAATGAGAACATGCATAACCAACCAGCCAGGAAGCTAGAGCATTTTGGTTTTAGTTGCCCAGCTGAGACGTGTGTCCTGCCTTGGTTGTACTGCTCACACAGTGCAGCCCCCAAGTCATCAACCACTTCTACAACAAAATGACTGCTCTGTGGGCTGTGTTCTGCTCCTAGGCTATATGCATCAGGGATCTGAAATACACAATGCTTTCTGTTAAAAAATGTAAAGACTCTGTTTAATTAGATGCTAAACTGCATTTCTGCTGAACAGCGGTGCAGCTGGATGTGTTGCTTCTCCTGCTCAATTCAGAATTGTGTGCATTTCACTCTTTTTGTTGCAGTGTAGAAGAAACCATAAATAAGCTGGAAGCCATTCTGCATCAATCTCTTCTTCCATGCCTTGGGATTTAAAGCTGAAATAGCTATTAACAAAATTAAGATTTATTTACTGATCACAGGTTTGCAAGTATCTGAAAGGACTCACACATTTGCATTTAGAAATGTTCTGTTGCCTGCTACTTTATATAATTTTATACGCATTTTAATTCTAGCTGCAAGATTTCTATTAGCATTTAGTTTTACAGCTGTTAACTCTATTACACACTTGAAAACTTGCAGAGATCTAGAATAAAGTAGTATGTGAGTCCCACCTAGTTGCATTTTAGAGATACTAATTTCTGATAAAAACACCACTTTGTGTTCCCTGTTGCACAGATCTTTTGGGATTTTTAACGTGACATCTCTTCAAAGCACCATAATTCACTCAATCACCTAGGTTTAAATTCTGTCACAGATTTACCAGGTTGTTTTTTTTTTTCTGTTTTTTTTTTTTTTTTTTTAAACAAAGGGAATGTTCTAGAAAATTTATTTTTAGAACTGTGTTCTGATTTAAAAGTCACAGTTTAATATTAACCTACTGACATGGCAACGTTTAATCTATTTACCTTACTTTACCTCTACTCATCTGAACCAGACATGGCTTTAAGAGCAAAACTTCACACAGAGTGAAAGCCTTATTGTCTAGCTGCCAAGGCATTTTAATGTTACAACATTCCATAACAATGAAGGTTCACACTTTTGTGGGTTTGGTTTCAGGGTTTGTTTTGTTTTGTTTAGAGAGCATACATTTGCTGTGTGAAGTAGTAAGTGTGCAACTTAGCTCACAACAGGATACAAAAATACTTCCAAAATCCCTGGCCTCATATTGAAATGAAAACTAAGGATCACTAAGTTGAAGACTGGACCCTGTGCTTTACAAGTGACAGATTCAAGTTTATATCAGTTTCGAAAAGATCTGGGGTATAAAGGCGCAATTTAACTATTTGATATTCAGCCCTAACACAGAAATCCACTGAATTCTGGCATACACTGCTGATGCAGCAAGAATGCAACAGTTTTGAAATCAAACAGGCTTCAAAATTTAGTTGCAGCAGCCAGAGTTTCCTTCCCTATCTCCTGCCATCCTAGTCACTTCATGTAACAGAACTATTTGTCATCTTTACACAGATTTTCACATAACACATTCAGGGCATCTTCCAGGTGACTGCCTGAATACACTTCTTGCACATGATTGCTAGAAACATGGCAGAGAAAAAAAAGAAAAAGATTTGGAACAAAGAATGTGTGGCTAAATGATGAACTGACAGTTTAAGAAAAGACTTTGCAGATACTGCATCATATGTCATTAAAAGAGAAAATAAGGATAAACCAGCATGTGTAAAGTTACAAGGAAGTGAAAGATACAGGAATTTCAAACCATGTGTTAACCACAAAACAGAGCTAGTGTATGCCCTCTTTCTCCCACAAGTTCTTTCCAGTGCTGTACCTCTCTACTATTATCTCTGTTGTATTCAGGAACTTTGAAATGCTGACAAAATAATAAAAATTTCCAATGGAACAATCCGAATTTGAAGCTCTAATAGAGTATTTTTAAAGCAAGATTTAATAATAAAAGGCCCAATGAAAAGTTCCTAAACATGAATAATTCATATATGTATTTAACTACTTCCCTGTTCCACAAAATCCAAGTCAGATATATATTACTCAGTGTTGCAAAACAGAAAAGGAACTAAAGAACCCTGGGCAGTTAAGCCTAAATTATGACAGTAACAAACAATTGAAATAAATTCCTTTTATCAGCAACATAAATATGCATAAAGTATTGTTCATGTGATGCTTACAGATTTCATTTTTTCTTTAGTCTCACCACAGAAGCAAGCTGAAACAGAAAATAGAATGAACAAGCAAAATAAAAATCTAAGTAAAACTTGAGATGGAAAAGTATCTCATAGGTTCCCCAAGCCTTCATTTAACCTGTGATCTAGTTTAAGAACCAAACAACATACATGATTTTGGGGAGGCAGTAGAGGAGCTTAAGCATTACGTAACACGTCCTGACTTTCCTGATGTAAACATACAAAGCTTATTTGCAAGGTGGAAACCCCCATCCCACTTTGTTTGCCAGATATACCTATGACCAAAAAAAGAGAGGGCATCTAAAATAATTTTCTAGAATGGGAAGATATCTTGCTGACTTGGGGAAAGGTGATTCAGCACCAAGTTCTGTCATCCGGAAAGTAAAACAATCTATCTGAAAGCATATTCTGAACAATGTTTTATTAGTAGCTTCAAAATGCAATGATGAAGATAAATGGTGTTATAAGCAATTTTCACATCCTACAAGAGAACAATACCTTCCATATCTGGAGATAGAATACCAAAAAGTTTTTGGGTATTTTCCATAGAATAACAAATCTTTGATGAAATTAAAATGGTGGAAGTGGACAAGGGAGAAAAGAAGGCTGGAATATTAACACTGTATGCATATTTATTTTTGAAAAAAAAAAAAAAAAAAAAAGTACTGCATTTTCACTAGTATTACTAATGTAACTTGGAAGATCATGGGAGGGCCAATGCCAATAGAGAGAATTTCAAAAATTCTCATACTAGTTTCCTTTAAACTTTTCCATATTTCCCCTGAAAAGAATATCCTCACATTCAATAATGATGTAAGCTTTCTTATCAAATGATTCTTATGATTCAAGAAGGCCAAAGCAGAAGACAATTCAAGGACTATATATGAACAAAATTTTTAAAAGCTATTAATAATTGGCTAATATTTAGCTATTAATATTATCTAATTAAAAATCTATTATTCTGCTTTTAAAAGTAAAGAAACAGCATTAAATAAATGTTTATTTTGCTGTTGTCAAATGTCAGAGGTGTCAAGGAACATCACCACCAGAAAGGTTTTCAGCTAAAAGTCTTTTGGCTATGTCCTTGCCAAGAAACATAAGAATTAAAAAGGAAAATTTAAGTAAAGTAGAATTTTACACTTTGCATTTTTACAGGATAGAATAAAATGGACATAGTTTTTTTTTAACTATGCCTTGCATTTTCCTTTTGGCAGTCAGACATTAATTTTCATTCTTCCCAGTTTTGCTTGAATTAAATAGGCTTGATGTTGCATCTCTAATTCTCTCAGCAATTAAAAGACTACAAAGTTCTGAACTTAGAATCTTATTTAGATTAAGCCCTCTATCTCTTAAAACTTCAGGCAGATTCTCTCTTCACTGATGTCACAGCTCTATGAAAAAGCATCTCTATGGCAGAAAAATCCCAGTTTGGTTTTATTTCAGGACAGTTTGGTTTTATTTGGTGACAATCACGAACACGACACACCTTTAGGAAAAAATACTAACCTAAACCACCAACTTCTAAACTTCTCTAAACACACTTAAAAACAGTTCTCATCTGCCCTTTTGCATTCAGCAATAGCTGCTTCTCTCATCTCTGCTGATGACAGGCAGGCTGTGTAACACCTCCTTCCTGAGTGCTAAAAGGTCTCTGCAGCAAAATAAGCAAACATGGATCCACCTAATGACACCAATTAAATTTGACTCACTCAATGCATTTTATGCCACTGCTACTTGTGGTCCAAGCCCTGCATATCTTACAGTAAGGCTGATCTACCAGTTGCTCCATAAAGATGAAACTGCATTCAAACATTGAAGTTAATGCGATTCTATGCAGGAGTGAATCTATCTGAAACAGCCATCAGACTGACTGTCTTAATTTTTAGGAGTTCACATCTACAGGCAGAGAGAAGAGAGACAGGCCAGCAGGGATAAGGACAAAACCCCGCTGTTTGGCTGTGCTCCCCTTCACAGATGCAGAAGCACCATGAAGTTGCATTCAGGACAGCTTAAGAGTCCCAGTTCAGCTCACCACAGTATCTAGAATCCATGTTTGGGTTCCTACCATGACATCTCAGTTATACACCACTCCCCAGCCCTGCCTCACACAGAGACAAAATATTCAGAATCTATTTCTTTAAATTGAGCCTACACAAAATGCATAATACACAAGCTCAGACACAGCCAGCCCACTGGATTAAGGTTTCTCACAAATCACAACAGGCAACCAAGATTTATTTTCCCCTACTCATGTTGCATACTGTGAAGAACACAAAAACAACAGTAGCTAAGCTGCTTCCTAAATGAAATTTAAAAATCCTTGCATACTGAGGAAGCTTCTTCCACTCCCTTGTGCAGGCACCATCCTGCAGGTACTCCTATTCTTCTCATTAATACTAAACCCTGCTGTAGGCCACCTACTGCACCACACAATTTGGGCCACCCAAATTCTGCTGCATTCTAGTGCTGTGACAGAACAGCAAATGCTGTGCTGCTACTGTGCCCTTAACTCTGACCTGAATAGACCCCAGTGAGGGAAGAGTGTTTCATCCTTCCTGGATACTTTTGCTTTGTGAGCACACTCCAGACACAGAGACTCTGTGACCAGCGATGACTCTTAAAAGAATACAGAATGCAATGGCAACTGGTTTGTTTCAGACCAGTGCTGGCTCTCTTTTGGAGAGCAGGGTACAGAAAATGGAGGAGCCGAGATCCCTTCATTCTCTTGTAGTTTGTAAGACTTTGAAGGAAGGTGGAAAAGTCAAATGTGTTTTTCTGATTATGTTTTCTCCTCCCTTAATCTTTATCTCCTTCCCCTTCTTGAATGGCACGCACAGAGACTCTGCTTGCTTTTTACACTCTTACTTCCCCCTTAAACCACTTTGAATGGAGGCACAGACTCAGATTTTCAATCACACACCACAGTGCTTAGCTTTCTGGCAAGTTTCTACCCATTAATTGGCTCTTGCTATCACACACCAAATGTTTTATTGTATGTATACTAGCTTACACTGGTAGATTTCATAAGAGATAATTCCGACAGCAATTATAAAGCACCCAGACTCCCCCAGTCTTATGACATTACAGAGTATCTAAGATCCAGTTCTACTATTAACTTCCTGTGTTCACTAGAACCTCTCTCTCCCTTCCTGCCCATAAATCTCTCATCCTTTGTCTTGCCTGAACCTACTCTAAGTGCTTTGGGGCAGAAATTGTCCTTCATAACACACTTGGCACTGTGTATAGAGCAACACCCCTAGCCTCCACTCCCTTTTGCGAAGGAAAAGGGCTGAGGCAATGTGAAGGAGAGCTGGCCAAGAATACCTGTGCCACAAAAAACATTTCAGAGGTTCATTTTCAAATCAGTTTCAAATTATGTGGTTATAAGAATGACCGTAAGGAGAGCATTGGTATGTAAAGCATAATTCAGTGGTTACAGGGAAAAGGGTGGCCCATATACCTCAAAGGAGTTTTCTGCAATTCAGAAAGGCTCCTAGAGCAATCTGAGATATACTACAGGTCACACAACAGCACAGATTTGAAAGAGAGGGTTTATCCCTCCTGACTGCAAATTCAGGACAGAGTTTGTAAATTCATCCAATCTACAAATGAAAAGAGGTATTATCTCCTTTGCACATCATCTTTGTACAAACTAAGATGCACAGAATACATAGCAACTAAAAGGAAACAGTCCTGTGACAGTATTTACTTTATACATTCATTTAACAGTCCGAAAATTCTTAAAGCATATAAATATCTTTAAAACCAGCAAAAATTCTCAGTAATAATAATAATAATAATAAGTTATACACACCTTGCCATAAGGAGTAGCAACATATTTTTCTGTTCTTCCTTCTAAGATATCCGGATCATCCAGGCCAGTTCCACCAATAATTCCAATCTTACACAGAAAAGTACATATTAGTCTTCTGAGATTATACTCCATCTAACAGCATGTCTGAAAAACTAACTAGACAGCTACAAAATGTGTTTTTTGCTTGAGATAGGGCTAGACTACAGATCAACAAAACATAAGATGCCCAGCAGTTTACCAGAAAGGAAATTTAAAATGACTGATTTTAAACAACTGTATTTAATTCACTAATTTCTTACTCTATGATTCTCCTTTTCAAAGATACCAAATTAAAAAAGCTATGGAATATGCACAAAGATGGGTCAATTCGTCATTCATTACCAATACAAAAATGAAGGGTGTTATTTGGGAATGCCTCTCATGAGAGAGAAATACCTGTATAAAGCATATTATAACAAAGGCTTCTTGTTCAGATGGGGAAAAACAGTCCAATACATAACGGCCATGCCGAATACCAGGCATTACTATGTAGTATTATACACACAAAATAATTATTTTTCAAAAAAATTAGAAGCTTTTTGTGTTGACTTGGCAAGATCTAAGAACTCAGTTCTGTAAATAGTCTCTGTACAGCTTCTGAAAAGGAGGATGGCTCAACAGCATCTTCACAAGTGAAATAAAAAGAATCTGCTGATTATTTCAACTGCTGTTAGCACCACTGGGTTTCTTCACATATATGCAATTAGATCTTCTGGTACCTAAAAGGTGTAAGTGCTCAAACTCGGCCTGCAGCTGGGTCACTAACTGTCTCCAGCATAGACGCATTGGTGTCAGGTTTTATTGAACTCATCTTTCCCTAAGTAGAAACTTAACAGACTCTTGCTTCTTCTACTTTTTTAATGAAATCTTTTCAAGTACTTTTTTGCAAATTTTTATGATGACTAACAGTTTCAAAGCATAAGAAGGGAAAAGAGAGGGCAAAGCAAAGGGCCACTTAAATAAAATGTATGTTATTTACCCAGGAAATTAGGCTAAAAGTGCTATGATGTGTATTGATACAACTTGCAGTGAAGAACCATGAAATGACTCACAATTACCACTTATCTGTCATGCTTTAGTAATCACAGATTTCTTGTTCTTGCTCATCTGTTCTATTTCTTTTGTAAAAGAGGGGAAAGAAAATAAAAGGTAATTTGAAACATAAATTCTCATTGACATTAAATTCACCTGTGATTTCATAGTCCAGCTAAAGAAAAAAGAATCTTAATTGTCTTGTTTCTAGTTTATCATTGGAAAGTATCTTGGTTTTGTCCTTCTAGGGATAATTTAACTTTCAATCAAGTCAAGTTTTCTCTTGAGTTCAGAACATTTCTAGTTCTTTGGATAGAATGAGTACTGTCAGGCCCTTCACAGCCTCAATTTAAAACTAATGCCACCATTTATCATACACAGAGAAAATTCTACTCTTTTTTTTTCCCTCCAGTGTGACCAGTTGTTGTAAAGTTTGTCTCACTTTTAAGTCAAAGAATTCATATTATGGTGGAGTTGCTTGTCATGGGAGGAAAAAAAAAAAAACTGAACCATTCTGGCATGACTTATTAGGGCATGGTTCCACCATTTTTTATTATTTTTAAAGACAGAAAATTTCTCAAGTAAAACCTCCAGACCTTAACATACACCACCTCCCTTCCACAACACACACCCAATTGTCTCTTACTCTAGCTTTTTCTTAACTTTCACATTCAGAGACCTCATTTGTTCAACCACTGTATTAGTTGGCTCATAAAACATCTTATTTCAACAAGCAGCAGTTCTGTGGTCTTCATTACACACCAAACACTTCCGAGAAAGTTCTCCACACCAGAATGTGTAAACAGTCGTACACTGAAGTAGTTTCAACAGATCTCCTATTTCCTTTTGCTACCCTCATGTGGAGCACGAGGAGTAGCGCAAAGGGAAAATACCAGTAAAAACCCACAAACTCCAACACTGAATACACTCAAGCATTAGGGAAGACCTAGATCACTGTTTGCAATAGTACTGAGGGGTCTGTTCCCATATTACTCATGTTACTTATCACAGATGTTCAGATTGTTAGGTTGCTCATGAAAATCCTTAAAACTATATAAATTTTAGGATGAATAATTTTTTGTCTTAAGAATCATGTGAGAAGTGTACAACAGGAGCAATCAGAAAGCTCAAAAGCAACAAAAGACCACTTTTAACATTGTTCATGCATGCATTCAGTAAACATGGAAGATTACTACATTAAGAGAAGCCAGGATCAAAATGGTGCCTTTTTTGTTTATTTTGTTTGTTTGTTTTTTAAAAAATCTAGAAAAAATATGGTTCCTTCAGTAACTTAGCTAGCTTTAGTTTGGTATAATCCTTGTTTTATTAGTGTCCTATGACTTAAGATTGAGAACTTTCAAAATCAAATGCTTATCTGCCTGAATTTTTATGTCTGGCAAAGTGAAAGTTGGGACTGAGAAAAACAGTGCAATGCTGAAGATACCAGCTACAGCTACATGACATAAAAGTTATTTTGGATTATTCCTCCCTGCAAAACACCTCAGCAGCGGTTTGGTCAATCTTCAAGCCATCTTAGGCAGCACTGGCAAGAGAAATGCTGGGCTCACTGTAATTCACAGAAGAGCTACTACAGTGGAAGCAAAGTTAGGTCAGCAGAGATTTGTTGAAACAGCTGCTTCTCCAACCATGTAATGCCAGCTTGGAGCTGGCAGCTCCAAACATAAAAGTAATTTTATTTCTCTGCAATATAATTATTTTTCCTCCAGTTTACATAATCTCCAGGAATATCAGGTGTGTCTGGGGACTGGAGACCCCAAAATCTGATTCTACATTAAATTCTGCTTTACAGACCATCTAGTGAATTATCAAAAGTAATGCAGCAGCTCTACGCTCAGCGGGGAGATACCCTGGCAAGGGAGCTGAAGTCCATTTCCATCTAGCAACCCAGTCAAGGAATGGCAAAGAAGAGTTGACTCAGGGAAAAAAGTCTCACCTTTCCTCAAAAGGCAGAGACAGTCACATCTATATAGGAGTGACCTCAAGAATGGAAAGATGCAAGACTGTATGCTCCATTCCAGACTTTGCATCCTACAAAGAGACATGAGAGACCTCTAAAAAAAATAGTAGAGGCTGCAGCTAAGGCTATCTGGAATAAAATCTAAAGTAAAATAGAACTGCAGTAGAATGAAACATGAAGTATTTTACTATGGTATAGTCCACTTCAAACACTGGGATGAAGAGCAACAAAAGTGAAACCTAACAAAAAGTTATCGCACCACTAACTACTAAATCAAAAGCATTTCTTTGTAGGAGTCCAAATAATGATCACACTTAAGTGTATGCCTTTCTTCACCTGCTGTCTGGTGAAATTCCTCAAACAGGTTGAAGCACAAGACACAGAAGTCTCAGGGCAGTAACAGTCTACACTTGTCCATCTCAGTCTTAAAACACTGGTATGTGTTAAGCGTTGTCGCAATCATCTAAGAGTCCTTGTGACAACTGACAACCAATGAATACATCTGTATTCCTCATTCTTCTAATTTGGGAATAATGAGAAGAGGATGGCATTAAAAAGACTCTCATTTAAAAGGTCATAAGCAGCAAGCTGCATAGAATTTACTGTTTCTGTAAAATTAGGGCAGTTTATAATCGATTTCCACACACCAACTGGGAAAGGTACTTCACCTCTGAAAAGCAATTCGTATTTTGGTCAAAAAGGCAAACCCAGAGCTCCAGTCTAACCGGCTTGCGCATCCCCGGCCAGGCCGTCACGTTTTGGAGCCATTTTCTAAGTCCACGGGACAGACCAGCCTCAGGCGAAAGTTCCGTACCAGCTCTGGTTTTTGTGCGACTGTTACAAACCCGCCCCAGTCCCTCTCACTGACAAATCCGACACACGGCATCCGCGTCGAAACACCCGAGAAGCAGAGGCCTGCAGCTTGCTTTTTTTTTTTTTAAGAAAAAAAAAAAAAAAGAAAATCGTCTCTTCCGGGACGGCCGCGGCAGAGCCGGCAGGGACACGCGGGTCGGGCCGCGGCGGCGCGGCCCCACCACGGGCGAGGCGGCGGCCGCGGAGGGTCCCGCCAGGCCGGCCCCTCTCCCACGCGGCACCACCGACGGCCGCCGCGCTGCCGCGCCAGCTGCCGGCGGGGCGAAGGCAGCGGCCGGCCGGCCGGCAAGCTGCGGCGCGCGAGAGGCAGCGCCGGGAGGGCGGCAGCGCGGCCCGGGGCCGGCGTGGGAGGAGGAAGACAACGAGCGGGCAAGCGGCTGAGGGCGGCCGTGGGCGCCGCCTCCTTCCCTGTCCGTGGCGGCGCGGACAGGCGCTTACCTTCACGGCGGCGGCGGCGGCGGCCATCTTGGCGGGGAGGCCGGGGGCGGGGCGGGGCGGCCGCCTAGCCCTCCGGGGCCGCGCGCCGCGTGTGGCCCGGCCCCGCCCCCCGCCGCTCCCGCCGCCGCCGCGGCCCGGTGGGAGGGCAGTGCCCGCCGCCGCCCCGCTAGGGGGCAGCGCCCGCCCGCGCTGAGGGGAGCCCGCGCCGGGCACCGGCGGCGGTGGGGGCGGGGGACGGGGCGGGGGATGGCAGCGCCGCGGGTCGGTGCCTGCGGCCTGAGGGGGGAGGGCGAGGGCGCCCGAGGGACCCCGACGCCGGGTGCGGGGCCGATACTCGCTGGTTTTGCCTAGTGCCAGGCGCGCAGCTGGGATTCTTCAGGGAACGATTAGGAACAGGCGATGAGGAACAGCACCCCGGAATGAAATCTGGTTTGTCGTGATTGTGTATCACAGCATCGGACATAACTGCCTTTTTTTTCTTTTTTTTTTTTTTTTTTTTTTTTTTTCAGAAGTGGATCTCGCCATCCCATTATTTCTGAGTGTTTGTATTGGTACACTGTTCTTACACTTCACCACTGGCCTCATTAGAATGTCTCCAGCGTGCTTTTGAAACATCACTATCATTTAGTCTGTAAGCCCTGATATGTTACTAAATCCTTGAAATGTCTCCTCAGTAAAGGTTTTATTACCCTTTTAAAAGTTTTCGCCTTGGAAGTACTTTTATTAAGTCAATGAGAATGCTATGTTTAAATACGTCTTGAAATCACAGCCAGGGTACCCATCCCACTTTCTTTTTGATAATTCTAATCCGCATGTTTACATGCAACTCTCCCGGAGTCTTCACTGGCTGCATGTAAACAGAACGATGCTGCAGCTGGTGGTAGGCAAACACTTTTCAAAGTTATGCTGCAGTTCCAGAAAATGGTGTTCCACAAATGTTGTGGTATAATAGAAATATCTATTTAAATGTGTAAGCATGTGCTAAAAATGCTAAGCATTGGCTCTGTCTCTCTGAAAGCTACCTTTCAGATGGTCCATATTTCAGCTAGGCCACCTATCATACTCCTTGTGGCACTGTGGTTTATTTGACTTTCCCCAAAAATTCCTCTGTTTGTCAACAGAGGGTGGAACTAAACCACCACAAAATCCCTGGCGCACCTTATAAAACAGTCACATGAAGCAAAACCTGCTGATTAGTCCTGTATTGCCAGAAACAACAAAACGAGACTAAAATTCCAGCTCTAACCTATATGAAAATTCCTAATTTATAGTATTTGTAACTAAGTAGAAGATGTTTGCTTTTAATTAAAACCCAATTCATTTAGAGGTTTAATATGGTTTAAATTAAGGATGATCCAAAAATTATCCTGAGATCAAACTGGAGCATGTTCAGGGAAAAAAAAAAAAAAAAATTTCTGTCTGAAGTACACATATGTAGAAAGTACATATATTTAGCTCTCCAAGCTAAATATAGCTTTAAGTCATATGAGAAGGTAAATACTATATTGTTATATGTTAATAATTACAATTTTCTTATTGTTGCCACAAGTCCATACATTTAATCATAACATTCACTTTACCATAATGTGATCTTACATTTTGAGAAACATCAATAGTTTTGACATATTTATGCATTTTATTACTATAGATAGATACAAATATCAAATGTAGAGCTTTCAAAAATAGACAGTATCTTGTTAATTGGAGTTACTTATATTTAGAAGTATTTGTCATAGATTTTCTTTAAAGCAACTTTATCTATCAGAGAGACCTCAGCCATCCAGACATGCTATTCTCACGTGTCACTCAGTGTTACCTGTCTGTTAAAAAATGTCATATATCTGTTAGTAAATGCAGTCGGATTCATCACTGAACATATGTCCTACATTTTATTGCAGCTTAGAAATTTGCTGAGATCTGTGAGGCAGTTCACTGAATACCAGGAAAAGGATATTTCTGATAATTTAAGGCAGTAGCAGCTGGTTCTGAACTTGTATTTCAGCTGGAATTTGGCCTCTGTGCAGCTTTGAACACTTCATCATCTTGTCTTCAGTGTATGTTAGAGATCTTCATATACAGCTGGGATGTTCAACACAGAGGCTGAAGAATTCTTACTGCATTTGAAAATGTGAGACTATACTGATGAGAAATGGACTTTGGAAAATCCAAAGTAGTTAATAAAGGGAGAAAGAAGGTCATGGGTGAAGTTACGTATTAACTTTTCCAGTGCAGTGCAGTATAGCCATAATACCATTCTAGGTTGGCCTTTCTATTGAAGGTATACGTTCTACTTTCAGTGCACAGAATCTTATAATCTGAATAATTTTTGGCAATTCCTTCTATTTAATTCTACTACAATTTTCCTCTTGAATTGCTTATAAAAAGCTGTGTCAGTTGTGCTGCAGTCTTCATCTTTTACCACAACTATGTGCAATCCATTTGCTTTTTTGGTTCTATTTTTTAATTCTTTTTTATTATGAAAGCTCACGTTGTTTAAATGGTGTGAAAATACTCATTATTTGAACTCTGAGGGACTGTAAGTTAAAAGGGTCCTTTCTTACTTCCATTAAAAACTTGTGCTACCTGTTCCCGCAGAGGCTGTTCCCACCAGAGTTTGATACTGTAGCTGTCCAGAGAGGTACCAGTTTTCCAGTTTCATGCTTATGGACTTTCTGTATTATATGTATCTTGTAGGAGTATTGCTCTATATAAAGCTGTCTATATATCCAGGGTAAACCTGAATACAGAACAGCAAACAGAAAAGACTACTCATGGTGAATTGTTAATGACATAGATATTGCCAAGAAATGTTGAACTGGAAGCCCAAAAGAAGATGTCTAGTCTAAGGCACATTCAGGACAGTGGGTGGACAACGTAAAATCAGAAAAAGGAGCTGAAAAACTGTTTTCTTGCAGACAAACTAAGTACCTTTTAAAATTCAATACCGTGCTAATTTCAGTTTAGCAGTTGACTAGTAAAGAAAACCTCTATTAATAGGAAATTTTGCATTTCTTCAAGTGAGCTCACTGTGTATTCATTGTTGTGGTTTAAACCCGGCCGGCAGCCAAATCCCACGCAGCCGCTTGCTCACCCTCTTCTGCATGGGTGGTGGGGGAGGGAATTGGAGGGGTAAATGGAGACTCATAGGTTGAGATAAAACCAGTTTAATAATTGAAATAAAATAAAACAATAATAACAATAGAAAGTAGAAACAGGTAATGCACAACGCGATCGCTCACCACCTGCCAACTGATTCCTAGGCTATTCCCACCTAGCGATCCCAAAAAAAGCCAAGATCCCAAAATCACAATCATGGAAGCAAGAGAGAACCCCCTCCTTACCAGCTAGCCGTCTTCTATATACTGATCAGAAAGTTATATGATACAGAATATTTCGTTAGCTAATTTAGGTCTGGTGCTCTGGCCGTGCTCCTTCCCAGCTCCTTGTGCACCTGTGCACGGGCAGGACATGGGGAGTTGGAGAGTCCTGGATCTCTCAGCAACAACTGCTGAGCATGTTATCAGCATTCTTCTTGTACCAAACCCCATATTGAATGCAAAGCACAGCACTGTTCTAGCTGCTAAGAAGAAAAATTAATTCTATCCCAGCTACAACCAGGACAGTATCAACATCTAGTTAATTCCCATTATTTAAACCAGCTTATAACCTAGGTCGAGCCATACATGCATTTAAACCTTCAGAATGATTTAACTGTTCACTAACAAGTAAGAAATAGTACTTTGTGAACTAAACATTTTCAAATGCTTACATTTCTATAGACAATATGCTTTTGGTAACTCAGTTTTGAATAGCTTAAAATTCAAGTCCTGTTATAGGACTGAGAGAAGGAATCCAGTTCAGTGGCTGTTCATGAGTAAACTGTAATCCAGAAATTCTTAACACAGCGTTTATAATCATGAGTAGTCAGCTTTCTACAGCAGCCATTTGAAACTGGAAGCAGGTAATCAAACACCACTTGACCAAAACCACCACCATAATATTCAAGAAAATATTGTTAACATGGATATTCAGTATGAATGTACACTATTAAAAATACTCTGGTTACAGAATTACTGCAATTTCAGTTCACAATTCCATTTATGATATCAGAGAAAACCTTGAAACAAAATGATAGCTTTGCATTTTCCCAGAGTGTGCACTTTGTACTTCATATTCTAAATGATGGAATTTAAATCCATTTATCTGAATAAAAATGAGTCATTTAGTGGAGTTTCATTTCACTTTTTAAAAAATAAAATAAATGCATGATGACTTGTAGGCTCTCTGCTTTGATTTCACAGTGCTTCAAGTGGCTGTGTCTCATGGGCACTGTTTCATCGGCTTAAGTTAAAATAATGCATAAGAACTAGGTATCATTTACACCTTACACCACTCAAAAAAGCCAAAATAACCTTCAGATGAAAATAAGTAATTTATACATCAGATTAAGGACCTTCAAACTTAAATGTAAAGTGTAATTTTTTATGTCTTGAGAGAATTATAGTGGAAGTCCACATGTAGCTAATACCTGAAAACCTCATCCTTAGAAGAACTGATGGGAAGGTCTGACAATTTAAGGTTCCCACAACTGTCTAACAGTTTTGACCATATGCCTGGCAGAGTTATGAAATCTTGTCCAAGTGAACAGAAAAATTCTTGTTTGTGTAAGAAGCACTTTAATTACACAAATAGTATATTATTAAGTTAAATATAGAAAACGATCTATGTGTAAGAAGGTAATTCTTCACAGTGCAAACCAAGGATGGGAAAAGAGGGTCTAATGTGAGCAAATAATGAGGACACAGTGACCTTTGAGTTTTAATCCCTCTTCTGACATCAGATACTTTTGTACATTAAAATACTTTAAACTCTGTCCCTCCTGTAAAGTCATAATCAAGATGATAATCAACCTCAACTATGTTAAAGGGGTGTTCAGATTAGCTAGAGTGTATTTGTGAAGATGCTTTGAAGATGAAAAGCACAGTGTCAAGGTAAAAGGTCTTACACTTCAAAGAAACAACATTGACGCTGAAGAGAAGGG